CCATATACTAGGTTGGTACGGAGTGGTACATTTTAGTCCTGTATCCCCCCCCCCTCCCAGCCCCTCCCCAGAAATCTGTAGATCCATTAGATCAAGAAATTTTTGTTCCATCCGTGCAAAAAAAATTAAAATTCAAGTTAAAAACGAAGGTAGTGCCGGGTGGTACCAAAGTGGTAACGAGTGATATGAATTTTTTTTGTCAAAATATATTGAAAATAGATCTCATTTTGTAGATCACAACGAACTTATTCAATATGCGCAAAAAAAAGTTGAAATCCAAGTTAGAATGAAGAAGATAAGAGCCGAATGAGAAAATTAGACAAATTAAAAACTATTAAATCTCACCCCTTATATCTGAATTTTCTAGCCTACTCAAATCTAAAGATCCATATTCTTAGTTAGGAAGGCTTATGCACCCTATCGTAGACCCTTAATATATGTTTAGGGATGACAATTTGAACCCACACCTTAGGGTATTACCCGAAGCGTAGTAGTGTGGACAGTCGCGTAGCTAGAAATTCATCTAAGGTTTGTCAAACGTTAAAACAAAATCCTAAATTCTAAGATGTGTTTATGTATGAATTTTTTAAAAAAAATACATTTATCGTTCGAATTATGAGAGATGTTAAGATAATACAACAAAAAATCGTTCATGATTCCAGAACTCATCTTATCCTGTAGTGGTTCTTCATTTTGTTCATTGTTGTAAGTGCTCTTTCAACACTTGCATTGATAGCTTATAACAACAACCACCCTAAGTTATGAGTATTTCTTTATATTAAACTCACTTATAGAATTTATGAATTAAAAATTAAATATATCTCGCAAAACTTATTTACAATAATATGGTGATTTTGTATTCTATTCACATTCAACAATCACATAAAAAAAAATTTAATCTACCTTTTTTGGCCAAGGTGGTGCAAACGACCCACCTTATGCTTAAGTGGCTCCGCCACTAAGTGTGGACGGGGCATTAGTATCTACTTCTAACTCGCCCTACCCCGTTTCGCACCGTTCTTGACTCATTCTATCTCAATTTCTTATCGTATATATTCATGAGACCTCAATTTCTTATCATATTCTATTATCACTATATTTCGTTCATAATTTTTTTTCTTTCATTTTATCGTAAAAAGTAATATTTTGCGTGTATTTTTTTCAAATACTATGTAAGAGTGAGTCAATTCGCCCCTGATTCGGGATCAAAGTAACGTGGGGCGAAACATGGGTATTGAGATACCCGCCCCACCCCGCCCCATTGTCATCAACATATATGTTTTTATATTTTTATCGTAAAATTTTGTTAAAACCTGTATAAAAAATTGTGGGTTAATTGCATGGTTGGTCACTGAGATTACAGAAAACGTTCAAGTTGGTCACTCGAAATATTTAAATCCATTGGTGGTAGTTTAGTTTATCGAAACCGTTCATGTTTGGTCACTCTCCGTCCAACTCCGTTAATGTTGGCTGATGTGCCAGTCAACTCTCAAAGTTGACCGTCAACTTAGTGACGTGGCAACTAAAAAATTATTAAAAATAAAAAATAAACTTTTATATTTTCCACCTCATTATTACATTCATTAAAAGATAAAAAAAATTAAAAAATCTATTTTTTTCCTACAAACTCCATACCCTACACACGTTGAACGGACTCCCACCTCTCGCCGGACTCCTCATCGAAGCTCCCGACCACCCTCGTCCACTGGAGCAGGCTTCGGCGGTGGCAAATCAACCTCTTCTCTACGCAAAGACACAACATCAACGCTCGATTTACGATTTCTCCCGTGAATGGTTGTTGGTGAATTGAGTCCAGCAACCTCTTCTCCTCCGTCAGTACCTCCGACGGATTCTGCCCAGAGAAAAGAAAAAAGAAAGAATCCGATATGTCATAGACGAATAAAACTCCTCGTTCCAGTCTTTCTGAATGTGAGAATGTCATGGTGATGATTCTACACTATTGCAGACATTCTCATCTCAGGTGAAGTAAATAGTGCAACAACAAGGGCAATTCAATTTGTTTCGTTCAATGTATAAGCCATTCATTGAAGAATACGAGGGAAAGAATGTAGTAAGAATCTCCTCATTTGGTGGACAACAAACAAATCTGTCTCAGGTGCATTTGCAATGTGGTAGTGATCTAACACATGCATTCCAGCTGTCCAGGGGCGGACCCACCTTGTAGTAAGGTGTGTCACCCGACACACCTTGCTCCGAAATTTTTGTGAGGAATCCAAATTTTTTCGGTGTAAAAAATTCGTACACGGGACCTCCAACACACCTCCAATAATTGTAATCGACACACCTTAATCTTATTACATTACAAAATATTTGTTGTGATAATAGTATTAAAATATGTAAATATAGGAGTTATCGGATTTCAGATTAGGTAGATAATTAGTTGTTGTACAAGAGTAAACAATTAATTGACTACTTACTACGTAGTGAATATTCAGAAAGATAGTTATCACTTTAGAGATAACCTCAATAAATTGAATGAGAATTAAATTGATTAATAATCTGGTTGAGTCAAGTAATTAGATAGTGAATTTCATACTGTCTTTTCCCATAACTTCTTCCATGGATTCTTCTTAAGTTAACTTTCTACTTGCTTTCTAGTTTAGCTATTTCTTTCTATGTTGACGCCTATCGCCACCATCCAATTATCGGCATTGAGCTGACGACATCTTAATTCTCATTCAAACTTACACATTGACGCATGTGGCCACCCTTCCAGCTTCTCATACCAGCTTTCTCATATTAAATTAGTGTTGACTTTACTTATTGCAACTGCAAACTACAAAATGACATTTTCCATATATGAGTTTAATCGAGAAAAATCTTTGCTATAAGTTGAGTGATCAATTTATAAATAATTAAGTTGTGTACATAAAAAAAAAATTGATTTGCAACCTAAGAGCAAATGTAATTAAGAATTTTTTCTGAATATGAAAACTCGTTGTGGTTCACTACAAAAAATTATGAAATTGATGAACTTTATGTATGAATTTTTTAGTGTTTATTTTAAATTAATTAAATATTTTTTTTATTGGCCGACACACCTATACCAAAATCCTGGGTCTGCCACTGCAGCTGTCGTTGATCTTCCCAATCCATATGTCCATCCCAAATCGCAAAGTCTCTCTCGTATGGGCGAAGGACTGGTGGAGTTTTGGGTTTGTCAGTTTAGGAGCAGCGGCGCCGACTTCTTCTTCTTATGTGTTCCATTGCGGTGACTTCATTCAATCCGTCATCAGCTAGGCCTTCAATTGGTTAATCGGAACCAAGAATGAGGGGTGTTTTATGACGGAGGAGAAGAGGTTGCTGGACTCAATTCACCAACAACCATTCGCGGGAGAAATCGTCAATCGAGCGTTGATGCTATGTCTTTGCGTAGAGAAGAGGTTGATTTGCCACCGCCGAAGCCTGCTCCAGTGAACGCCGGTGGTCGGGAGCTTCGCGTTGAGGAGTCCGGCGAGAGGCGGGAGTCCGTTCAACGTGGGTAGGGTATGGGTTTGTAGAAAAAAAATTTAGATTTTTTTATTTTTTAATGAATGTTATGAGGTGAAAAATATAAAAATTTATTTTTATTTTTAATAATTTTTTAGTTGCCACATCACTAAGTTAACGGTCAACTTTGAGAGTTGACTGTCACATTAGCCAACGTTAACGGAGTTGGACGGAGAGTGACCAAACGTGAACAGTTTCGATAAACTAAAGTACCACCAATGGATTTAAATATTTCGAGTGGCCAAACTTGAACGTTTTTTGTAATCTCAGTGACCAACCATGCAACTAACCCAAAAAAATTGTAGTACCCGTCCCATAGGCCATAACCCTTTTGACAGCGTTGGCTGAAACGCAAAAGAATAGAAGTTAGAAACAGGGGGTGGTTCGTAATCCCTCTTCCCTCTATAATATATAGCAGTTCTTCACGAGATTTTGAGCATTTCAAATTCCTTGCACTCTCCTTAATTGTAGCTAGGGGTAAATTTGTAAGTTCAACTTATAACTTAAATATCTTCTTTCGAGAAAAAAAATGTCATTACCAAGACTTGAACTCGAGTTCTTCAGATTGATAGTCAATATCCCTAACCAACTAGACTACAGCAATGTTTATGTATTTTTTGAATTAAAGAGAGAAAATACTGAAATATCTCAAAATCATAGGACTATCCACCGCAACAATCAATCATCGAATTAATTAATAACTGTAATTATTTACAATGTGAATCATCATGATATACCTAGTTTTATGAATCAACTAAGTGAGTTCCTCTAATCACACAATTCTTCACAAAGAATCAAATAGTACATTTTGAGTTTATGTATGTCTTACAACTTTTACATTTATTAGATTACGTGACTCTGTAGTTTGTAGGAATACAAGGATTTTTTACAAAAGTGCTATACAAAATTTTATTTCAAAACATAAAATTTGACATTTATGATCTATGGTTTTGTAACGAGACATTTTCAATACTATAAGTGAATGACCAAAAATCATTGGCTAACAATTTCCCTAATGGTTGAGAATTATGAGCATAGAATTGAAAGACTAAATACCATTGACAAATGAGCCACTAGACCATAGATTAATCACATAACTATATTTTATATCATAATTCTCTAAATCCTAATATAGTGCATATGGTATGTTGTATACATCTTGGCGAATCAGAATCATTGCTTATGTTCTTAGTATATGTGATATTAGGGTTTAAGTTCTATAGGTTTAGGGTATATGATTTAATTATTGGAAACTTAATCTCCTTTTTCAAATTTCCTGCAATGAGAGGGAAATTAGGAAGGACATTTATGTCTTCACAATTATCTGAATTTTTTTATTTATTTACAGAAAAAGATAGACATATTGAGATTTGAACCATGGTCACTTCAAACAAAGTAAAGGTTTAAAATCAATCAGACTATGTAGATTTGTTGTATTTTTATAAATTAAGAATATATACGAAGCTAAAATATGAAATCACAAAACTTTTCAACAGTTAGCTAGCCCAATAAATATTTCATAAGTACTTAATTGGTGTTTTGATACTTCAATTGTGATATTTTTATTTTAATTATAGTTTAATACTTAATTTAAAATTTTATCTATATTATAAATAGACGATAACCATAAATTTGCAACAAAAATATTGTTGGTTCGAATATTTCATATCGAATTATAGTATTGAATATGTAGAAGCGATATAGAATTCTTAAATTATCATTAATTTTCAGAACTATAGTGAAACAATCATATCTTTGTGCGAACTATAGGGGATTGGTTCTCTGAACATTTTTGTCCGGTTAAATACTAAGTTTGAAACTCTTCCTAGGGGTGTGCGTGGGTCGGTTCGTTTGGGTTTAGATATTTTAATCACCTAAATCATATACCACGATTTTGAAAACACTGTCACGACCCGAAATGTCGTGATCGTGTTGATCGTCTGAAGAACGCTGCCATCTGGTTGTCTTGCCATGAGAAGGGTAAAGGGGGCGACATTAGCGATGAGGCGTTGTCTGCCTGTGCATCGCATCTGGCCGAGTCAGGATGTGGCTATGAAAGGGATCGTTGCAAGAGAAGGCACAACTGGTCGGAGGCTATTGACGTCTCCCTGATGAGCCCAAGGCAGGGCGAAACCAGTTGGCATGCGTATGCAGAGAGGCTGGTCTTGAGGAATGAGTGCACCTCAAGACGCCGCACGGACTTCGGAAGTCTATGTCCGTGACAAGTGGTATCAGAGCCTGGTTAGGCTGAAGAGTCTAGTTCCTCTCTCAGTACGGCATAAGTCGTGTATGGGCCGACCCTATGCCCGAATGAGAGGCGGTCCTAGGTGTGCATATCAGGCGGTCCGGACGCAGATACACATGTGTTGCGCCATTGTGGAGGACCTTGACAGGCTGAAGATGCAGCGGCCGAGAATGCCGTTCAACCGAGGAACTAACGCTAGAGAGAGCGTAGGGTGAAGGTCGATTGAGGTACAAACGCTGGGAGTAGCATATGGTGAAGGTTGACTGAGGTAATAGCGCAGCAGAAGCAAAGAGTGAAGGTTGATGTCGAGGGGGGAAGCGGTATGTGCGCGGGGCACAATAGGCTAGCGCGAGAACACGAGCGGAGCCTGTCCATCAGAGGATGGTATCGTATGCGGATGCCCACAGTCGGTTCGAGAGTTGCAATACATGCTGCGGAGAGAAGCATTCTTCACCAGCACGAGGACGTGCTGCATTATGAGTGGTGGAGAATGTCACAACCCGAAATGTCGTGATCGTGTTGATCGTCTAAAGAACGCTTCCATCTGGTTGTCTTGCCATGAGAAGGGTAAAGGGGGCGACATTAGCGATAAGGCGTTGTCTGCCTGTGCATCGCATCTGGCCGAGTCAGGATGTGGCTATGAAAGGGATCGTTGCAAGAGAAGGCACAACTGGTCGGAGGCTATTGCCGTCTCCCTGATGAGCCCAAGGCAGGGCGAAACCAGTTGGCATGCGTATGCAGAGAGGCTGGTCTTGAGGAATGAGTGCACCTCAAGACGCCGCACGGACTTCGGAAGTCTATGACCGTGACAAGCAAAATGAAACACCCTAACCCGGCCGTGTACTACTTTTATTAAAATGCCCTTGATAAATAAAATACTCAAATCTTAAATTGCAACGGGAATGATTTTCACAAATAAAATATATTGAAAACACACACTTGTAGCTCAAACCAAAGCCCTAACACGTGGGCAAATTAAACTCAAACTTTAAAATCTCAATCTGATCTCAAAATAATCTCCAGTCTGTACTCATAATCATAAATGTAATTAACTGATAATCTCTGAAGTTGTTGCTACTGAAAACCTTGACTAAGCATCCTCCATGACGCTTATACTGCTCTCCTCTAGTTGGCTGCCCTCGAACTCGCTGCTCACTAATTGCTCATCTAGCTCCTCAAACTAGTGAGTGAGATGGGGTCAATCTACGCCCTTACGTTTTAATACTTCTAATACTTGAGTACTTTACTTAAACACTTAACTTTAACTAATGGAAGTTGTTTGTACTTCCAAATATTAAAATCTTAACTCTTAAACTTTGAGGGAGTTGAAGTTACTCTCCTCTCTTTAAGCTCAAATCTCGACTTAAATACTTGACTGACACGGGGATCCCTCACTAGCTAGTCCGGTTACCAACTCATACGTATGAGAAGCCATCCAGGCTTTCCTTAAACATAAACTTAGTTAGGGAAGTCGTAACGATTCATCCCCCTAACATCTTAAACTTATCGTGGTGGCTCTTCACCACGATTCTCAAGGGCATAACTGCTGCCCATCTTAAAAGTCTCAAGAGCATAAATGCTGCTCTATCTAAAAATCTCAAATGGCAACGGACTGGCGCTAGTGACTAAAAACATTTAAAACGACTTCACCTCCTTGAAGGCGAGTTACTTCTTTAAAAAGAACTTGACTCTTAACTTTAACGATAACTTATAACAACACGCTCTAAGGTAAATGGCACAAAATCACCTCAAATCATAGCTCAGGCAAGGCACAAATAATCAATCACACACAAAATCAAACAACGGTAACCAATTCTCTAAAATACTTAAAGGAATACGTAAGGCGTAGAATTTACCCCCTTTACACTCACCTTATTATCTGGCATCCCGATATCCATTCCTTCACCTGCTACCGAATTATTTCTTTGCACAGCACACATGTACGTACCCATCTCATTTCGGAGAAGTCGATGCATTATCCTCTCGTTCGGCGGCTGAGCAGTTCCATTCAGCCTAGCTCGAGACTTTTCCACTATTGAACGAAACTCTTCCTTCCAAGGTGACAATGGCACCTGGAAATCCCCAACTGCTCGAGACTTCGTCCCAAACTGCCCGTTGCGCTAGCCTCTCGCATTTTTTTTTCTCAATTTCCATCCGCAACTCCTTAATTTCTGGAGTCTACTTGGGCTAGAGCAACCAATCGGACCTGGGCACCTTTGCATCTACTTTTCCAGAACCGAATTGAAGGGGTCGATCTGGCCGCTTCTTCTTCACAATATCGCGCGGCTTCCTTCCTCCATGTCTCTTCCCAAAAAAAATTTGATCATGCTTCCTCCCTCTCTCTCCCTATCACAATCAATTGCAAGCGGCGGATTCCTTCTTTATTTCCCTTCCGCTGGCGAGGTTAATAACTGAGGGGTGGGGAATAATTGAGTGGAGAGGGCCGGCCGCTCGGCCCCGAGCCCCTTTTATATGATTTTTTTCATAATAATAAATAATAATAATTATTATTATTATTAGTATTATTACTACTAATCCGCGATTGCAACTTGGAGTAAAAGTTGATATTGGGTTTGGGAAGGGATTAAGGGAAGTGGTGAGGGGAAGAAATTGTGTTTGGATTTGGTAGCAGGTAAAGTTCATGGTTCGGTTTCTTTTCGTAAAATGCTTTGATTTATTTTAGTTAGAGGTATAATATCATGGTTATGTGGGATCAAATGAACCAAAAATGAGCTTGGGGAATGGGAATTCCAACTTAGAAGGAGTGGATTAGATTTTGATAAACTCAAGTTCATGATTAACTAAAAAAATATTTAGATTTAGACTTTGTGGTAGATGTTCATAGAGAGTCTAAAACTGATCCAAGGCCATGGATTGATATTGGTTAGTTGATTGTGATTTTGAGGAAGGTGTATAAAAAGTCATGGAAGTAGTTTGCAGCAAGTGAAGGCAGTGAAGAGGCAGTTGGTCAGGGTAGTGATTTAACCAATGAGGGTATTGAAAGACATAGAAGCATAACCGGAGCAGTTGAAGAGAGAGAAGTGGTAGATGATCAGGATATTAATGAAAATGGAGAGGGTATTGAAAGGGCATGGAAGTGAACTGGATCAGGTGAAGGCAGAGAAGGAGGAGAAGAGCATATTGATGGAATTGAAGATGAGTGTTGGTTTCACGAGCTTATTAAAACTGCCCCGAGGAGGATGAGTTGGCCAAATACAAGAAATAGGATTGAGGAGTTGGAGATCAAACTGACAAGAAACTCAATTGAAAGAGAAATTCAGGTTCATGGAGAGAAGGTCCATCAAAGTAGCATAAATGGAGTTGCAGAAGGAGGATTAGAAATTGAATTTTGGTTTAAAACATATACGTCGAGAGATTGAAGATGGATGGATAAAAAGTTGTTTGTACAATGGAGAGTGGAAACTATTGGATCTTTAGGTGTTATGGTTGTTGCAACTACCACAACCTATGTTTATGTTAAAATGAGGAATCATTGATTGATTTACTAACACTCTGTTTGGGAGAAGGGGGAAGTGGAGGGGGGTACATATTTTGAGGGGTAATGAAGGATCCCAATGCAAATGCACCTATTTGGATCTTTAGCAATAGTAGCTGGCGGGTGCATTGGAGGGGTAATTTTACTATTCTCCTTCACCCCCCAAAATGGGGTGCAACTGTGCAAGGGAAGAAGAAGGAAGGGTGGAAGGTGAGGCAGACGTGGGATGGGTGGAAAGAAGAGGAAGGTGGGACCAAGGGAGGGAAAGATTAGAGAGAGGTGGTGGGTTCTTTTAATTTTGGTTTTATTTTTCTGTTATAATAATAATAATTATATTAAAATTGATACTTTACACCTCATTTTGCACCCTCCTACTTTTTCTCCCAAACAACAATTTGCACCTCGATTTGCACCCTCCTATAATTTGCTCCCTCCTATAATTTGCACCCATATTTGCACCCTCCTCTAATTTGCACCCCCCTCGTTGCCAAACGGTGTGTAAAGTTAATGTTGATTCACTATTCAAACTACTGGAACCTATAGATAAGGAGTGTCTAATTTTGTGCCTCATTACTTTGATCGAGTCTATTAGTATATTGGATGTTATTCTAATTTTGTCATTTGCTTTCAAGTTTTGATGGTTTCCTTTTAGTTGAGTTGTTAGCATATGATTTACTTGAATCAACAACTCTTCATTTTTTTTTATAAATCCATTTGTTTTTTATTAGTGGCATGTTATTCATAGAGGAGAGCTTTGAACCATTTATGTGGGATTGTGAGGTTTCATTTCAGTTTCAAACTATCTATGGATCGTGTGAGAATTTCAATGAGCTTTTATATTATATATTTCTGGACAATCTATTAACCAATATCATTTTAATGGCGGCTCAATTATCATTATGAAAATGGGACTAATGATACATTTTTTATATTCTTAAATGAAGAGGGTATTTTCCTGAATATTCGACCTATATATTCATTCTTTATGTAGAATCTCGATTGAATGATTTTCAATAAACTTAAACAAATTAATAGACTTAAACATAACATAAAAATATAAAGGCAAAATACACTTTCATAGCCAAATCTATTCGCGTTGTGACAAATATAGCCACTTTTTGAAAAATACACTCGTATAACCACTTTTGAAAATTTGGCTGGCAAATTTAGCCAATTCCGTTACTAACATAAATGGAAAGAGAGACACCGTCAGTAAGCCCTCCGTGGCGCTGAGGTGGATGTCACGCCGTTGCCACATCATCGCCAACTCGACATCATTTATCCACATGGTTTTTACCTTTTAAATTTACCTTCTTTATTTTTATTTTTACCTTCAATTCCACTCACTCCTCTAAACTGTCGACCATTATCAATCCCCATTCTAGGTTTTGCGGAGGAAAACCCCATCCCCGCCGCCGCTCTCTCTCGATCTCGATCTCTTACCCATCGCCGTCGCCTTCTCCCTCTATATTCCCCATCGCTTTCTCCTTCTCTCCTCCCCATCGCCTTCTCCTTCTCCTTCTGTCCTTCCCATTTCCTCACTTCTCCCTCTGTTTTCCAGTCGCCGATTTATCCATGTCGCGCAGGGTTGGGCGGAGAAACGTCGGGAGGGATTTGGGCGATTCTGGGTCAACGAACATCAAAAGTGAAGGTGTTGGTGCTGTCATTTGCAAGTGCAAACTCCCTGCTTTGGTACAAACTTCTGGGACTGAGTTGAACCCAGGCAGACAGATGGTTGCCCTAATTGGATGGTAAGCAAATCGTAGTTTCTATGAACTATTTTATGACCTATTGTGTCTTAGGAACGTCAATTTTGCAGGATCCGAAATGTGGGTGCAATTTTTTTCGTTGGGTGGATTCAAGTTCTGATATATCAGAGGCACGAAACAATGATGTTGACGGTATGATGATGAAGTTGGAAGAAAGCTTAAGGCTGGCCGAATCGAAGGCAGTGAGAATGAAGAAGGATAAGCTACTGCTGGAGGAGGAGTTATGCAATTGGATGAAAATTGAGAGAGATCGAACAACTGAATATCAGAATTTGTATAATGAATTGCGAGTGATTCGATATATGCTTAGTTTCTTCTTGGTTATTAATGTCTTACTGATTGTATTTCTGTGGAAGAAGTAAGTTTGTATCGATCATATGTAATGTGCACGTTGAAATTTGAAGTTGGTATGAAGTTGAAAGTTTGCAAAAGATAACATGGAACGATTGAACCTAACATAATCCTTGCAAAATAATCCTGTTTCTACAATAGTCTGGAGCACACATTAACGAGCATGATAGTTAGTTCCTGATTACATTCTGACATTTGAGTTCAACATCAACCTAAGATAGAGAGTTTGCTTCAGCTACACCTAGCAAACAAGCCTAAAACTTAACATAAATTGTCTTAGCCGAATTACATGAGTCGACAAAGCTGCTTCTAAGCAAGGGTTGGATGCCCTGTACAAAATTTGGACTCATGAGAAGTTAACTACACTTCTAAGGTTGGGTTGGTGGCGGCTGGCTCCCTGGCAGATCCATCTCAGTAGGCTGGGTTGGAGGTGGATTCCCAACAAATCTCCCATTTGCCCCATTCAGCTGCATCCAACAGATTTGTTAAATGTCATATTAGTGATGACACAAGAAAAAAAGGTGTAACTAAGAAAGAAAGAAACCAATTACTCACCATAACATATTGATTACCAGTCGTCTCATCAACATAAACACCAATTCCTCTTGTTGCTTGACGAAGCTCCCTTTCAATTGTAAAACGATCGCCAACATTCAACCTCACATCCTACATTACAAACAAAACAAAACAGTTAACCTAAGGTTTTTCTACACTAGTTAACCTAACATTCATCTACAACTTACACTAATCACTTACTTGTATTCCCACTCCCCTGTTCAACGGACATGTTCTGGCATTGTGTGTGGCCGAGCAACACTTGGAGCAGTGGTTGCCTCTCCTCTGCCTTGGTTGACTCTCATTAGGTGGATCGGCAGCAGCAGCTCCATTCCTTCTGGCAACAGCAGCAGCTCCATTCCTTCTGGCAGCAGCAGCTCCATTCCTTGTGGCAGCAACAGCTTCATTCCTTCTGGCAGCAGCTCCATTCCTTGTAGTCATTCCCTTCAAGAATACAACCATCGAATAAGTGACAATGTAATTTAAAGGGACAATGTGATACTATAACTTTTGGAAGTTTACCACAGTTCGAGTTCGAGCAGCAACAGGTGCTGGGCATGACCTTGCATTGTGCCCTTCAGCTCCACATTTGGAGCAATGAACCAAGCTACCCCTCTGAGTTACTTCTTCACCAATCCTTTTTTTTTGTGGTCTTGTTTCCCTCTCCCCAGCTGTCTTTCTTCTGTTTTTTTTTTTGGGCGGCCTGGCATTGGTCTGTCTTTAGGAGGGTATACTTCGTACCCACTGGCTTCAGGCCATGCTTGTCTACCATCAAGACAAGGCAGCCCCACCTTGTAGCACTCCTCCACATTCCGAACAAGGTAAGAAGGATGAACATAATCATCCGGATTCTTCCTCAAGTGGCTGATAGCAGAAACTGCATGACAGCATGGCAGCCCACTCAACTGCCAATAACCACAGCTGCACTCCTTCGAAGTCAGGTCTACAATGTACCCTTCAGCCTCCATTTTCACTTCACATCTCATATTGTGAGATTGCCTAGATACACACAGCCTAGCAACCTCCTTCTCCTTCTCTAAACGTTTCCTAATTCTCGGACACAACTCATCAGTACTCTGGATCAGCATATTATACTTGATAACCACTCTTTCCATCATATACCCCCTAATCGCTTCAAGCATCTCTATAATACGAAATCCTCTATACTTCACAATACTGCCATTCCAAGTCTCACATATATTACTCTCGACACTATCACATTTAGGAATTGCAGACAAGAAAGCACGAGAAAATTTGGTCGGATCAGCAGCCATAAAGTCAGTAAATGGCGTTGGTCCATCACCATTACCTTGTATACTCTCCATCTCTTGCGTAGCCTTCTTCCAATCAGATTCGTTGCATGCATACACTGCCTTCCAGAACAATTTCCGAATCATGTCGGTCTTGTTCTTGACTTTCCAGTTGGCATACACATGCGTAGCACATTTTCGATGCTCCGCTTCAGGTAGTATTGAGTGGAGCGCTTCAACCAGACCCTAATGGAGAGAAATAGGATTAGTATAAAACACATGAGAAATATTCAAAGTACAATCAACTCAAATATTACTATACCTTTTGCTGGTCCGATATAACAGTACATCCTCTACCATCAAGTAAACCTAGTTCTTTAGTTAGAATATCCCCGAACCACATCCAAGAGTTGGTATTTTCTCCTTCCACAACCGCCCAGGCAATTGGAAACATCTGGTTGTTTCCATCTTTACCCACTGCTGTGAGCAACATACCTTTTACCTCCCCTTTAAGAAAACAGCCATCCAAACCAAACATCGAACGACAGCCTAAAAGGAATTCATCCTTCAAACAGGAAAAGCCAACATATAAGCGCTTGAATAAGCACTTATCCTCATCTGGGTGCGGGTCAACTTCCAGCTGGAAACGACCATCCCTATCCCTCTTCTTCAACTCAGCTACATAACTCCTAATCAATTTATACTCATCACTCAACGACCCACTTAACATCTTGATAGCCTCTACTTTAGCTCTGTAGCAAGTTCTCTTCTTCACCTCCATATTGTGTTTTAACTTAACCTCAGCCATAATCTGTTCCGGAGCCCACTCTGGGTTAATTCTGAATCTCTCTAACATATCTGAGGCAATCCACTTAGCTGTGACTTGGTTAACTGAGAGACGCCTTGCACATGAGTGTGGCAGCCCCACTTTCCTTATCATGAAGCACTTATCCTTCCTGAACCAGCTTGCATACAACCTCCATTGACAATTCCCATCTTTACACTTAACCTCTCTCCTCGTAGGGTTGCTCTGAATCCATCTCAGAGGTGCACCATGTGCTACAGAATGTCTTATAACGCCATCTTTGAACTGCTCTACCCCATCGAATTTCATTCTACATACAAACTCAAGTTTCTTATGGTCGCAGAGTGGATCATACCGTGGTGCATCATCATACAAATCACCATCCTCCTCATCTAATAAGTTGCCCCTTACATGATCTGATTCTTCTGACAATCTGTAGCTTGAATGCTGAGAGCCCTCCCCATTAACATCAACTCGAGGTGGCTGAGGTTCTTCAGGTGACTCATTGTTCTGAAGGGGAGTGGAGTGGTGTGAATTCTCACCATCATCTTGGCCTTCCTCCTCCCCATTTTCAGAGTCAGATTCTTCAAATTCCAACAACTGGTCTACTTCTTCTCCACCAGCAGCAACTCTTGCAATCACTTTCCTTTTCCTCCCTTCACCATATGCACGTAGGTTAGCTCTAGCCTCGTGAAATTCATCATCTGATGTTATTGCATCATCGGAGTCATAAACATGATATATATCAGGAGCAATAGAAGCATCTCCAACATTGTGGCTGCCTAGCGAATCCTCATCATGACCAATCTGATTTGTGTCATTCTCGCCCACCAATTCATCCCACGAGTCTGCCATCTGTTAAGATAACAACCTTATTGTCATTATATACTATATAATTACATAATTAATAGTTAATTAGTCTTAAGTGAAACCAACTTTCTGCTTTACAATAAACAAATAGCATACAACAGGCTACCCACTAAAGAATTGCGAATCAAATAACCAATTTCAAAGCACATTTGTCGTCACTACAAATTGACTTTTGTATCCAATGTGATGAGCTTCTTACCGTTTGATTCAGGGGCAATCTCGCCACAAAGAGAAGTTATGTGGTCCCTTCACGAACTTGTTATGTCGCTCTCCAAGCTTTACAGATCGCCAACACCTATAAATAGATACAAAAAACTATACTTTAATCAACCTCATTCCAGCAATAACATTCGCACACTATAACCCCATACTCTTGTCTTCACTCACCAGCCAAACGCGAAACCAAAATTAGGGTTCGCCGACCTCCCCTCGCGATTCTGGGTTCGCCGACCTCGCCTCTCTTTTCTGGGTTCGCCGACCTCCCCTCGTGATTCTGGGTTCGCCGACCTCGCCTCGCGATTCTGGGTTCGCCAACCTCGCCTCTCTTTTCTGGAATCAACCGACGGGTGCGACGAACGGAGAATAGCGACGATTGCCCGGCTGAGACGAGTGATTAGGGTTTGCCGCCGTCGTCTATCGGGAGAGATGGGGGAGCTGTGTTTGACGAGAGAAGAATGAGAGAAGAGGAAGGGTAAATCGCGTGAATGGTAAAAGGAAACTCGATTAATTGGTAAAGTTAGATTTAGGGTTTTACCTTTTTTTTTAATAATTTACACCTGTCCTGCTACGTAGATTAACAGCGTCCACGTTGCAAGCGTTCATTAGTCCGGTCAGTAGTCGTCAAATTCCCGTTAAAGTTTTGGACGGAATGGCTATACGAGTGTATTTTTCAAAAAGTGGCTATATTTGTCACAACGCGAATAGATTTGACTATGAAAGTGTATTTTGCCAAATATAAATATTAAAATATGAACATTCCGGCCAACGGGCCGGATTATAAGCCAGTTAGATCCATACGGTGATATTTTCGACCGAGCTCGATTGGAACTCGGTTCTGTTCCTGCCCCACATTCGTTCCGTTTCTGTATCTGATTGCCCTCCAACTCCTTGTCGATCTCTTTACCTTCAATTCCCTTGGGAAACCCTAACTTCTCCAATCTAGGGTTTACCACGCTATACCGTTTCCACCTATAAGCATGTTTGCGCCATAAGGCTTGAATTTTCGGTCGAGAGAGGTAAAGAGGTTTTCGTTTCGCATTCTCAAGTGCCTGTTAGAAATAAAATTATGTATCATCGCGATCGGGGAGGAGCCGGCAGCGTTCCATCGAGGTCGGAGCTTGTAGGAAGACCCCTCGATCGGAAGCGCATAAACGATGCGCTTGACAAGCACCTAGAGAAATCGTCTCCGTCAACTTCGAGGGCCTTGAACAGCAAGGACAAAGAGCGGTTGTCCGTACCATCCACTTCTGCGGGCAAATCGCAGCTCGATCATCGCGATTCTCGAGCAGCTTCTCTATCCGAGAACAAGTGCTCCGATGGTAGGTTTTCTGGTTGGATATTCGTGAAACTGATTATGGGTTTACCATTCTTTCATAGCTTTCGACCAAACACTTTTGCTCACTTGTTTTACAGAGAATTATTTTATTTTATTTTTGGTATATTTGAATTTGCTGTCAAGATTGCCAAGGCAGCAATGATTAGAAATTGTTGAAGCAGTCATCCTGTCCCACAGATTGTTGTTCAACTGCATCTCTACTCTATGGTTTCAGTGGTTTCCATTTGGAAATGAGTAATGCATTGATTAATTGCTGTCTTCTCCATCTAGTAAGAGTTCTTCGCACACAACATAATCATTTTCATGTTGTTGGGAACCTAAAATGTGCCACTCATGAAATGCGATGTTACCCGTTAGCTTCTTCCTTTCAACTTGTAAACTGTCTAACGAGCCGAATGAATTGCTAATTCATAATGTGGTGACCTCAACACTTTTACCTGTTTTTGATGAGTAGATTACCTTGTCCCTTGCTCTGCTTTGTTACATCAGTTCAATTAAATCGGATTACTTGCAATTAGGTCTAATTTGAATATGTATTTTTGCAATGAAACTTGCTTGGCCTGATCTTTTGTAAAAAGAAGCATAGTGAGTGAATCCATTTTGTGCCAATAATAATTCTTCGTATAATATTGTGTCCAACTTTATCATAAGTGTTCTTATTTAATTAGATTCCAGGGGCTGATCTAATCTGAACAGGTTGTTGTGTCATGGCAGGTCGCTAGTTAATATTCATCTCTTTCTATTGCCAGGAAAATGGAACTTTAACCCTTACATTTCTGACTTGGCTACTATTTGGTGTGCTGCAGAGGAATCTGAGACTGATAGTGAAGAGTCAGATATAAGTGGCTCCGAGGGGGATGACACATCCTGGATTTCATGGTTCTGCAACCTTCGAGGAAATGAATTTTTCTGTGAAGTGGATGATGAATACATCCAAGATGATTTTAATCTTTGTGGATTGAGCAGTCAAGTTCCGTATTATGATTATGCACTTGATCTTATATTGGACGTGGAATCTTCTCACGGTAAGCTTTGCTGAATTCATGAGGCTTCAGTTCTAGCCTATGAATTTAATTTGTGGCCATACGTTTCTGTCAGCTGTTCTACGAGTTACTGAACTTTAACACAATTTTGTTTTACCCTTGCTAACCTACAATTAGGGGTGTTCAAATGGTTATCATGGTAATTACAAAACCAATAAGTCTAAATTTTATTAATCCTGGAATACAATATCATAACTAAACTATCCAAACTAATGCAACAACCAAATTAACCAAATTAAAGTTTAATCGGTAACCAGATTAATCAATATAAAATCACATTATCATTATTGAGTGAGAAAATTTTCCGGTTGATGATCAATTCACAATTTATATATAATGAAAAACATAACAATCAACACATAGGTATAATTAACCCTTAGCATAAATACATGCAACTAATACAATGATATTCAAGTCAATAGAAATATTCACCTACCAAAATTATATGCAATGGTATAAAGTTAATGAATTGTTGTGTTTGTGTGAATTGACTTAGTCTCTTAGCAATTATCATAGGATGAATAAAACATTTTTTTCAAGTTTTCATCTAACATAATGTATGAGTTTTCATACAATATAGGAACAATATTGACCTTGATTATTTTATGAGCTTAAAATA